AAATTCAGTTAATATTTTATTATAATCGATCCTGACGAATAAATGAATTTCATAAATGAATGAATTTTATAAATGAATGAATTTTATAAATGAATGGTTTTTGCTGCCGAATTACTAGAATACAATATTTCAAGGCAGATGACGGATCTATTCGATAATTTTTATTCGAATAGTTTTCAACGAATGTTTTCTTACTAACTATCGAATTATTCGAATGAATTGCAACTATCGAATGTTTCGATAGTATTCATTCGATAGTTCCCACTACTAGTTAAAACATCGGTAGTCACTAAAAAAATAAATATACACGAGTTTCTAAACTTGTTTCCTTTATCTATGATTTAACCTCTGAATATATAAATTTTACCCCTAGATTATATACAGGGTGTCCCAGGCTGAGCGTGCATTAGAAGTTTCTAGATAACTACAATATCTAGAGCGGGCATTTTTTGCACATTGCCTTTTCACAACGAGATCTATCGATGAAAAATATTTTCAGTATGGCGGCACTTCCGGAAATACCGGAAGCTGACAGCAACTTTCTTATTTTAAATGGGTACCCCCATTTTTTATTACATACCTACTTAAATTCTCGTAAATTTTTATGAATTTTGATATCAAAAACTCTATACCTAACATTAACTGTTTTTGAGAAAAAAAAACATTTAACATTTTTGAGGAAAAAAAAACTGCCTGTCAAAACTTTTTTATAGCCTAAACAACAAATTTAGTGATTATCATAGCCACTGTGGCATAAAAAGAAGACATGTGGCTATTCTATTTCAAAAATTAAATTGTTCGAATGTCATATAATATTGGCCGTATCTGTCATGGAATTGAGCGATCAAAAAATTATATTAAATCATTTTTTTCAAATGGAAACCCACTTTTTTATTTCACTAGTAAAAAGGTTTTTTAATTCGTTTAAGTTACGTTTTGTTTATACATGTTCCTATACCTAAAATAACTCGTTTTTAAGTTATTTAAGATATAGTTTTAAAGAGTACATTTTTTTGTTTTTGATAACCAGTAGCTTATGACTTTAAACGTCACGGGATGTAAAACTTTTATTGTTAATCTAAGTGTAAAACTGTCATATTGCCACTATATAGCTATCACTAAAATATGAGATATATTTTTATAAATACACTTTTTTTACCGGTTACCAGTTTTACCGGCAGTATTTATAATATATGAAATTCAAATAATTAGTTCTTTGACAGAAGAAAATAAATTGTCTGATGGTTTGACACTTTTAATGTCAAGGGAAGCTAGATAAAATCAAGAAAAAAATACGCTTTAAAACAAAATCTTAAATAACTTAAAATCGAGTTATTTTAGGTATAGGAACATGTGTATAATCAAAAAGTAATGATTTGAAAAACCTTTTTACTAGAGAAATAAAAAAGTGGGTTTCTATTTGAAAAAAAAATGATTTATGAGAATTTTTTAATCGCTCAATTCCATCACAACTGCGGTCAATATTATATGTTATATGACATTCGCACAATTTCATTTTTGAAATAGATAGCCACATACCTATCTTCTCTTTATGCCAAAATGGCTGTGGTAATCACTAAATTTGTCGTTTAGGCTATACCGATTTTTTTGAGAGGCAGTTTTTTTCCTCCAAAAATTTTAAATATTATTTTTCTCAAAAACGGTTAATGTTAGGTATAGAGTGTTTGATATCAGAATTCATAAAAATTTACAGATAATTTAAATATGTAATAAAAAATGGGGGTACCCATTTAAAAAAAGAAAGTTGCTGTAAAGTTCCGGTATTTCTGGAAGTGCCGACATATTAAAAATATTTTTAATCGATAGATCTCGTTGTGAAAAGGCAATGTGCAAAAAATTTCCGCTCTAGATATTGTAGTTCTCTAGAAACTTCTGATGTACGTTCAGCCTGGACATTTTTGATTTTTTATTCGCTCCTACTTTCGGCGATTTCACTATCGTAGTTTCCTATATCATTTAGGATATTCTTTCTCATTGATATCTACTATGTCCAAAATAAGACCACTGTTTAGCGACAATTATAGTAATAGGTCTTATTTATCATCGTCGAAAATGTTTCTGCTTAAAGTTCCCTCTTACTCCTAGGAGAAGGGGTTGTAATCAATAACATCTAGTATACACATAAACGTACCAAAATTTCAGTAGTTTATTTTATTGGTAGTGGGATGAAATATTATATTACCCTAAAACACCCCTGTGGCTACGTACACATTCGATGGAGTAAACTCTATAGTATAATTTTCGAAGAAACTTTGATCGATTCATGTATGGCGTCGTGTTAACTGTCTTTCAAACGGCAGTTGATTCGCGTATTACTTTAAAACACGCGACGCGTCCCTTAGAATGGGTTTATAGCGTGCCGACGTTTCTCTTCCCCCGTTTTAATCGTCCCTCATCAGGAATCGTGACGTAGACGGACACGGAAGGAACGTCGTTTTCGACATGACGCGAAGATTGCAACTCAGAGTAGTAAATAAAGGATGTAGATAATGTGTCTGGATGAAAGCGTCCGATAATGGCTCTCACAGATACACGTATTTTCCTGGTAATGTAACAGAGTAGTATTACTTGATGAGTAAAATGGATTTTCTGTAGCTGAAAACTAAGCAAAACTGTGTATGTATTTGTAAGAAGTCTGTATTATACTGTTCAAACGTGTCTGGAGAATATCAAGGACGAAAAACGAGCATCTTAAACTTTTTATGTATTTTAAAGTTTTATATAGGTATTGTGTTCTAGTGGACCGATTTTGATGATCTTTTGAGCAATTTGTAGCTAAATTATTTGACTCTGGTATCTTTTTCTAAATTAAAAATGAAAGTTTCTATCTGTCAATTATACGAGGAAAAAAAAAATGTTGTTATTTTGGTGAAAGTTTGGGATACTCTGTGGAATATGTTAAAAAAGTATGTATTTTATAATTTTATCTCTAGATCACTTTTTGGTTTATCTCAATAGCTTTATTATATTTCAAAAAATATAATTTAAAAAAAAACAAATTTAAACCGCCCTCATTGAAAAATACCGAAAAGTGTTTGCAACGTCCATTTTTAAAGTAATTATTGCTATTTATTGCTCAAACCCGTGATAATTGTGAAAAAGTGGCATTAAAAACTTAAAAGGCTATGTGTTCGTGGCATAATGTCGGTTTCCAATGTTTCATAGGTATTTCATATATGTCCTTATATAAAAGTGTCTTATATCCAACACACTGTATTTTATTTAAAAATTAAAAGAAAATAATAAATTTGAATAAATAATATTTGGCGACATATTTCCGGAAAAAGCCGAACCGCTCCGAAAATATCAAAAGCTTTGGAGAGTGGTCGTTACCCAAGTAGCAAAAAGAAATTCTAAAAGGATTGAATTATTTTATAACAGTCGAATAGCGTTGTCTTAAGGACTGCTTGAGTTTATTAAGCGTTTGGTTTCGACCATTCTGTTTTTTAATTAAAGTTGTCATATTAAACTATTTTCTAGTGGTTTTTACAACGTATCCTATAACAAACAAACCTATAAGGCATTAAACGATAATTTCTTTTAGTATGATATAACACTTAATAAGACAATGCTATATGATAACAAACATATTATTTTATTAGACTCTTATACCCACCATGTAAGAGTTCTATAATATTCATATAACTAGTAGTCACAAGATCATATAATAGTTACTTAAACTTGTCTTATTAAAGTTGTATTACGTTGTATGATAGAATGTTTTATTGCGTTAAACTACGGTGCTGTATACAACAGTTATATAGCCTTATATGATAAAATTGTGATTAACAAAATAAATTCGCTGTAATATCTGCATTATAAAACTGGTAATGTATAATATAATCTCATTTTAAATTAAATGGTATACCTAGTTATTTATTTTGTTATCGTTGTTGTTGCAAAAGTAATATCTACGTACAAGTATAATCAATCACAACTATTATGAATTCTGGACAAAGTTGGAAAAAAGTTAACAAACCCAGTGGTAGTTATAAAGAGCATGTAAGAAAAAACTCCTTGAAATTACGGCAAATAATCCCGAAAATTCCCTGGATTCCCAAAAGCCAAAATCTCTCGGGTTGTCTGGCTTCTTCAAAGCATTGTTGCCACGTTGATGTCAAAGTTTTACTGTAGTAATGTTTGTAATGTTTGTATTTTTCCAAGTCCTTAGGTTGCCGCTCACTCGTCGGGCACGCATGAAATGCATTGCGTGCATGAATCCATGAAAATCTGATCATGTTTGTTAGTTTAAATACTAATCAAATGAGATTTGGCAACATCTATTTATCACAAATCTCAATATGTCCAAAATAGTTCTATAGTGCCTGGAAATTCTGCGTAATGATAGATATTTATCCTATACCGTTTTATTTTACAACAAAGACTTATTTAAGGGATTCATTTATAATAAAATGGTTGCATTATAATTCGCCATGTTTAAGGCAGAATTTTTATATGGCCTATGGCCGCCATTATATGAAGCAAAATTAAAAACATCAAAATAAATTGTAAAATGTTATTTTTGAGAACTATTTTGTGATAAGATTCCCACATAACGTAAAATAGTTGAATAAGAGTTGTATACCCTTTTTATAGAACTTCTATACTACTAAACGGTTGTATAAAAATGGGCTTTTTTTGGTTGTAAAGCTATCATATTACGGTCTTATAGCACGTTATATGAATTGAGGTATCCTATAAAAATGATCACATAGCTGTTTATATAGCCTTTATAAAATAAAATTTGCTACTTTAGAACGCGCCAAATAGTATTTACAATGTCCTTATGGGCACTTTCCAATCTAAACTTGCTTATTTTATCTATGGGTTAAATTTATTTTCATAGAGAATAAAAATATGTATGAAAGTGAATTCATGTTTTAACTCAACTCTAGCAGATAGCAGTTGCATTAAAAAAATAATTTTGGATTGTAAAAATAACACATTTTACATAAAAAGTTCATTTTTAAGATACTTACTTGGAGAAAGGCTCTAACACTGTTAGAACCAGCCACGCTTAGGGCATTGCAAATTAACCATCCAGCATCTTCCCTCTGGACCCCCTGGATTCTTAGGGTACCATGAGCATTGACATGCATATGTCCTTAAAAATAGGCATCAATTAAAAACCAATAATATCTTTTATTGTTGAAATTTGATATTTTTTACGTACTGAAATCATATCTAGTACAGGAATCATTTTTTAATTATTTCTACCATATTTTAAACAATATCTACGGATAATATTCAATATAAGCGTGTCTTACCATTAGAATTATCGCTGAACATCAGTATTTGCGAACCTTCCTTACTCCAGAACATTGAAGGCTTCGGGTTTCCATTCGCCGAGCAATGAAATTCCACAACACCATTTAGAGAAGCTTTTTGATCTTTGGGCTTCTCGACGAATACCGGCGGAGCTAGAAATATCACAATGGTTTAACTAACGTACGAATTTACACTTTATACCAGAGTTTGATGCATCTGTTTGACAAGCTTTGTAGGTCAAGAAAAGTAATTAAAATTAGTTTAGTTTAGTTTAGAGAAAAACGCATTTGGCCAGTTACTAGGCATATTAGATACGGGTTATTATGATTTATGCAATAATATTTCTTATTTGATTCTATATATTTTACCACTGTTAGTATTATACGAGTATACTCTAACCCGCATGAAAAACGGGCACCTTAAAATTTTGATGTACCTATTTTAAAGTTTAATATATTTTGTTCTATTGTGCCGATTTTGATGATTTTTTAAGCAATTTGTAGCTAAAGTATTTGGCTTTTTAGTATCTATTTCTAAATTAAAAATGAAGTTTTATTCTGTAAACTATATGAGGAAAAACAAAATGTTGATATTTTGGTGAAAGTTTGAAACACCCTGTGGAGTAAGTCAGCAATGCAAGGAATTTAAAAATAGTATAATATAATAAAATATTATAAAAATAATAAAATCTAGATACATCTTTTCTCGATAGTTTCTTTTTTGATTCATCTCAATATCTTTATTTTTATTGGACATATTCGCTTTGAAATAATACAGTAATGATCTACAGCAATTTTAGCATTGATTTTGGGTCCTCATCAACACACTTAATAACACTAAAATAGCGTTCTTTTTGTAATGTCATTGTTATTGAACAGTGATATTATTGTTGTTATTTGACGTTTGCTCTAGTAGAGAATAGTTTTAAGTACTGAAGTATCGGCTATATCTGCTTTAATTGATCATGGTAGAGATCAAGTTTTAAAACTTAAAACTCTGCTAGAGTAACTGCACAACAGACAATCATAATATGACTTTTCAAAGACAGTGACATTACATAAATCATAAACACTACTTTATAGGTCTATTGACTAGGACCAAAACCAAAAGCATGGTTTTAATGAAAAAAATACGAAAAATTGTTAGTGTCGCCTTCAAAAGCGAATATCTCCAAAAGAAATACAGCTATTGAGATGAATCAAAAAACAAACTATCGAGAAAAGATACACCCAGATGATAAAATAATTGCTACATTTCTTGCCTTGTTTCTGTTGTTCAAGTTACTCCACAGCGTGTTCCAAACTTTTACCAAAATGTCAACATTTTGTTTTCCCTCATATAATTGACAGATGGGAACATTCATTTTTAATTTAGAGAGACATACTAAAAAGTCAAATCATTTAGCTACAAATTTCTTAAAAAATCATCAAAATCGGTTCACTAGAACACAATATATAAAATTTTAAAATACATTAAAATGTTAAGATGCCCGTTTTTCGTGCCGGTGAGTGTAAATAGCAAATACAAGCTTGCAACAGTAACAGTTGTAACTAAATAATTGGTTATATAAAGGTTTAAACATATCAGTGCACCAATAGCGATAGCTCTTGATGTAATGTCAGGGTTGCTACACCACGAATTTCTATAAAGCTTGTAAAAGCTATTCCAAAAAATTACAGTTATGAAAACAGTAACATATATAAATATATCAGTACAGAATGTACATGGCCCGCATGGAGAAATTAAGATCGTTGTAGCAGGTTGTGGCTCAAATTTTGTTCAAACTTTTGAAATATTTTTTTAATTCAGAAGAATCAACAAAAGTTGTTGGCATATTTGTTGTAGAATTATAACTGTTGTAGGTGGTGGATGTACTTATTTATTTTATTATTTCTTTTTGCTTATTGTTATTCTTGGAGGATTGTAGATACACATTATGTATTATAGATACACATAATGTATATTCTTCATAAATATGGATACATTTACAGTGAGGCGTCTGTATTGTCATATTGAAATGTTTATTAGAATATACTCATTTATTATTGAAATATGTACTCAAATTTTGTTCAAACTAATAATAAAACTACTAACTACTAAAAAAAAATAATGAACAAAAGCCTGTTAAGCCGTTATTTATAAAAATCAATAAGACTTCCAACTGTTGTATAAAAATAATAACTTTACCCAACTCTAATTTCTGGTTTAAACAAAAATATATATACAGGGTAAGTATTAAATAAGTGCAAATATTTTCAGGGCTGGTAGAACTCAATAAAAGAAACATATGTTTTCTTTACTGTTTTGCAAATCAGTATAAAATAACAAGAAAATAACCGATATTTTTGAAAATTAAAAAAATATATATTTTTCGCATAGATTTTGGGAACCACTGGATCTTTTCTGGGTTTTCTTTCTTGTAAATTTAACATACTACCTATGTCGCTATATTATGAAGATATGTTTTTTCATAAAAATTAAAAAAACTAAAAAAAAATCAAAATTTTCAATTTTTTTTTCGCCAAAAAACCTTATTGCCGTGTTTATGGGGCCAAAATTTACTACCCCTAAAAATATTTGTACTTATTTGACTCACCCTGTATATAACGTATAATCTAGTGTATTTACCATTTTCAACATAAAATAATTATATTTAATGTATACGTACAATTGACTACCAAAGAGGCCTTAGCAGTGATGCTTCCAACTTCATTCTCAGCTTTACAAACATAGAAGCCTTCATCTGCAGGTTGGACATTTTCTATTTGAAGGGAATCTTCTAGAACTGAAACCCTTCCCAGGGGCATCTTTCCATCATCCTTACCCCAAACGACGTTAGGAACTGGATCGCCATCTACTGCACACTTAAAGACAACTCTTTGACCTGCTAGGGCCTCCACATCTTGAGGTTCCTTGATAAATTTTGGTTTGACTGCAATAAATGACAAGAAAAAATGCACAATAAAGAGAATCATATTATTGTTTAAATAGTAAAAAAGTAATTAAGCTATACAAATATATTGTAAGTAAATAAATGCTAAACAAATAGGAGCATACTATTTTTAAAAATAATTAGTTTTTCCATATGACATTCTCGATTAGGTTTTCATACAAAGTTTTTGTATGAAAACCTAATCCCTATAAGGTCTGAAATACACTATATGCCAGGGAAACAAGCGGAGTGGTCAGACAAGCATACTAGCTTGAAAATATGACTATGTACTAAGTACAAAAATTTAACGAACAACGAACAAGCATTTTGTGCTCATTTTGAAGATAGCAAATCAAAATGTATATTTTAAATATTAAATTCCCACTAAGAGTACATTGGACAAATAGCTTTCAGACAGCAGAACAAAACCTTTGAAAATTAAGAATCAGAAGGGTAGGGACATACAGGGTGGTCCGAACTGTATTCCGGAAAGTTAGATTCGGCAGCATATTCTGCAGATAAAAATAAGTAAAAAAGTTCGTAGAAATATATGTCCTAAAATGCTTAGTTTCGGAAATATAGGGTGTAGAAGTTTCATTTTGATTTCGATTTTTTCACTTATAATATCACAAGAGCTTAAATTATTCTCGGAAATTTTTTTGAGGGCACGAATATTTTGAAAATTATCCCGAGTCGAAGACGAGGGATAATTTTCCTAAAATATTCGTGCCCGAAAGAAAATTTCCAGGAATAATTTAAGCTTGCGTGGTATTCGGTAAGAAAATTTCACACCTAAATTTGAAAAAAAAATATTAATCCAACATGACATTTTAAAATAATTTCAATTTGTTAATAATATTAACAAATATTATTATATTTTTAATTAGTTACATCAAATGCTAAAACTCAAATGGGTAATATTTCAATATATAGATATTGTAGTTCATTCACATTATGATTGTAGATCTTATGTTTACCTTTTCAACTGTCAAAAAATTTCCACTAAAGTTTCGTGGCGCCTCGAAAAAATTTCCGGAAATTTTTTCAGTTGCCATGGTAACTTGTCAACATTAAAGCATGTTATTGGTTGAAAAGTAGAGGTGTGAAATTTTCCAAATAATTTCTGAAGTAACGTCAATATTTGGATGAAAATTGGTGTCTGGGTGTTTTTTGACATGAGAATTTTGATTTTAATGTCAATATGACTCCTACTTGTAGTGAGCGCCACCTACATATTTTTAACTGGTTTGAAAAGTCCGAAAAATAACTTTTCGTCCGTACTTGTATAAAACTACTTAGTAAAAAAATATACATTTACGACGTTTTTTGCGTAAAAAAGGTCTCTTGGTAAAAATCGCTACGAGTAATGGTTCTCCACATATTTGGAATTGACATTATCAATACTTGTCATCATTGACATAAATTAAACACGTTGACTAAATAGTTATTAGACTGAAATCATCAATTTGAAATGTTTTTGTACCAAAAGTTCAACAGAAACTGATTTATCATCATTTTTTTCGAAGAAAAATTTATGATTAATTTAAAAAAAAATAAAGTTCCCCAATTTATCATTTCAGTCAAATAACTCAACATTTTTATTTTTTGTTAATAATGACATGTATTGACTATTTCCATTCTAAATATGTATCTTGAGAATGGTTGCTCGTATAGCAATTTTTACCAAGAGACATTTTTTGCATAAAAAGTCACGGAAATGTATATTTTTTCACTCAGTAGTTTTATACAGATACAGATGAAAAGTTATTACTTTTCAAAACAGTTAAAACACATGTAAGTGGTGCCCACTACAAATAGAAATCATATTGACATCAAAATCAAATTTCTCACGTCAAAAAACTCCCAAACATTAATTTTCATCCAAATATTGACGTTAGTTCAGAAATTATTTGAAAAAAATCGAAATAAAAATAAAACTCCTACACTCCGAAATGTATTTTTTGGACATACATTTAGACGAACATTTTTACTTATTTTTATCTCCAGAATATGCTGCCGAAGTTTCCGGAATACAGTTCGGACCATCCTGTATAAAAATTTATATTATTACTTGCCGATTTAATTGCAATTTTATTGTTCATTAATAATCAGTGAATAACCGTAAACATTGTTAATTGATATCTTACCATAGACACGCAGTGTAGCTTCTGGTGACTTCCTTGAGCCTACTAAATTGTGAGCGACGCATTGATACTTCCCCTCATCGTGGTGACGTACGTCCGATATCATTAAATTGCCTCCATCAACGATCCGCAATCGTTTTCCATCGATTTCCATCTCTATGTCGTCTTTTCTCCAAACCAGGGTAGGCTCTGGGAATCCCCTGGGTGGACCGCATTGTAACAAAGCTGTCTCGCCTAAGGCTACTCGAGTGTCAGTCGGTACAGTCTTGAATTCATCACGTAATACTGTAACAAAAGGAAACATAATGTTATCACATAACATAAGGTCGTTCAGTAATTTAGAGCAGAGATTTTGCAGTATTTAATGGTATTAGTTCAAAATTAATTATTATTAATGGTCACAGCTTCACAGGTCTGGCCGTTTGCTGGTTGCTGCGATCTGTTCGGTAGTGTGTTTGAAAGTGGCAAGTGTTTAGTTTAAAGAAGTTGGTTAATTTTTAAAAGACACCAGCACAGCGTTAGGAAATATAGAATAGCAAGAAAAATCCTGATCCAAAATAAAACATGAAAATCAAAAATTTATTTATTATTAAAATCTAAAAATTAACAAGCATGAGTAATTTTTCATTATAGGGTAATTGTCCATTTAAAAATATAAGACAAGTTTATAAAGTACTATATCCGCACTAAATGTAGGAATGAATTGCTTTCTTGCCACCTGGAGTAGGTATTTGTTATATTTACCAATTCTAAGTTTAAAACTGAGACGATTACTCTTATTATCCCTCTATTCTCTCCATAGTTCCTGCAACGCTAAAATCGTCTATAAATCACCATAGAGAACGATTTAAACTTTTCGTACAACTCAGACTTGCGAGAAAGAGAGGATATATATCTCTTATTAATGGCCGTTTGAAAGTTACGGAATACGAAACTCAAACTTTAATCAATCAGGACATCGTAACCGAATCTTTCTCCTTTATTTTATTTCTTATTCTTTCCTCTTATCCTCTTTTTACCGTACTTACTTCAGTTTCTTCAACGTGAGGATTGATAGAGTTCTGGAACATTTCCAAGTGACATGCTTTCTCAAACAGGATTTTCTAATTTGTTTTAATAAGAAAAATTTGCTTTGTTATTGTTTCAATTATTTATTATGGGGTTTATTTGGAGATGGACTAAGTGTTTATTCAACCCAATAATGGTTGCGATTTTAAATATATTATAAAGAAAGTGAGTGATAAATAATAAGTGAGTGATATCTTAGGTAACAGTTTAAGAGTCAGAATCAATATTAACTATAAAAATCGTAAAATTGTGAAGATATTTTTTTTCGCCGTGATTAAACCTGAATTAAATATACATACTACTGCCATTACTCGCTGACGAGTGTTTGACACGAACCAGAAGATGGTTAGGCAAGGCGCTTTCATTCATGAGCTTTTCTGTGACTGAAAAGCCCAATACGTAATGTTATCTGCCTACCGCACTCTGGACATTCAAAAATCTCATTGCTTTGCTGCCTCTTTACCTTTTGGTTGTCGCTGTTAACTGAGTTTATAATTGTTCTCCATTGCGATCTATTGTTTCCCAATCATTCTCCATGTTTATCCCCTTTAAGTTTTTGTGAAAAATATTCTTTTTTTAAGCTTACCGTAAATAGTCGTAGCGGTAGAACCCAAATACACGAAAAACGTTTCAAATAATGATAGAAGCAAACCACTTGGTATAGGTGGTATATACACATAAACAATCGATTTGACCCGCAGCACCTTATTGCAAGTGGAGGCAAATTTAAAATTGCGGCATTTTTTTAGAATTATACATTTATATTATACATTATTTTATATATTATTATATTAAATACTACACTAAGTATATAAAATTCAAAATGGCGGAATTTAGTTCTGTATTAATTAGTATAGTTGCGAGCTAATTCTCTATCACCTACGCGCGAGACATAAGTTTTGGTTCAAATCAAACATTTATTACAAGCAGTAGCGCACCAAGAAAGTAATTGTGAGAAGACCCCCTTCCGTTCACCTACCCCACCTGCCCCACCAAACAAAAAAAAATCCGAAGAATAAATTTAAAATATAAACTTTTTACATTAAGTATTGTTATGAATTTACTCTATCCGCAGGTCCCAATAATTCAACACACTGAGTACAACAACGACTTGACTTTATTAAATCCACTTATTAAAAATCCACAATTATTTTACAATATTTCAATTATTATTCAGAACTTTATTGTACAACGTAAAAACTTAAACTAACTAAAGACTAAACGCATCCACCTCTATCTTCCGAGAACTGGCCAGTGAAGTTTTCGCGCGTCGTAAGAGTTTTATATAATTTACTCATCAGTAAAGGCAAACTCATCCCTTAATTGTGTAAAATTTAGTACTAAAGAAGAAGCAGATGGCAGAATAATATTACATTTAAAGGATGCGGTGCAGCATGGGTCTCAGAACGTGGTAGTGCGAACAGTTGATACTGATGTACTAGTACTATGTATAGCTTTTTACGCACAATTTAAATTTTTAAATCTCTCGGTCTCCAGAATTTATGGGTTCTTTTTGGTACAGGTGCAAAGAGACGATATTTAGCAGCACATCTTATGGCAGGTAAGCCTCTCACACAAAAATAACACACTTGGCCTAAAAAATCATATTTTAGATGCTCTTGGCGACAAGGCTAGCGCTCTTCCTGGGTTTCATGCTTTTACAGGATGTGACACGGTGTCTTTCTTTTCTTACAAAGAAAAAAAGTCTGTCTGGAAAACATGAAATTCTCAGAGCGATAAGACAACCAAATCTTTTCAGGCGATATCAAGCCCATCACTGTCTTCCACTCCGGACGATGTCGTCAAAGTTCTTGCTAGCTTCACTGTTCAGATGTACAATCCACTTAGCACTGCAACCAATCTTACGATATGGATGACGTAACGCCATCACCTAAGCGATGGGGCTGGGTTGAAAAGAATTCAAAGTGAACTAGTCTATGGTCTGTTCTTCCAAATGTATGGCAGACATGCCAAGAGCTAGCTAAATGCTCTGTAAAACTGGATGTAGCAGTAGTCGGTGTAAATGCAAAAGAAATGGTCTTCCATATACACTGCAATGCAGTTCCTGCAAAGATATGTGCACCAACAGTGTAATTCAAAAGTTGGTATTTTTAAATATTTTTATATTTTTCCGAGCTAGACTAACAAAAAGTTTCTGAGTAGATTTATTCTTTTTAATTTTTTATTTTAGTTTAGAAGATTCCGAAGACTAAGAAATGGTATCCGGCGCCATTTTGTAAAAACTCACGCCATTTTATTTTTTTTCTTAAAAACGCTGTACTTTTAATAAATTATAAAAATTAAAATTGCTATTCTATTAATTTGAACCCCATTAGTCTCATAAGAATTAAGTTAAGCTGCGCCATTTTGAAAAATTCCGCCATTTTGAATTTGCTTCCACTCCTGATAAGGTGCTGCGGGCCAAATCAACCTACTATATGTAAGTACACTTTCTGCCAAGCGGTTTTATTCTATCACGATTTGAAACGTTTTTTGGTCTACCGCTACGACTAAAAGCAGATATTTTGGTAGACGGTTTTCTTGCATTCTGCATATGTGACCAGCCCATCTTAAGCGGGATTTTGTAATCATGACTTCAACGCTCTCGCAGCTAGCTTTTTTCAAGGACCGATACGTTTGAGACGTGGTGGAACCACTTTATTCTTAAGAGTTGTCTAAGACGTATTATAATAAATATAAACCTGAATTAAACAAAAACATATCAAAATACTAAAAAAGGAGGCTCTTATTCACTCTTTTCACTATTTCAGTATGGCTCCGTGTTCTGGACGATGGGACTGTCAGAAATGAAGAAAAATGACGCAACTGAGGTATATTGCTGGCGACGAATGCTCAGAATTCTCTTGACTGCCCGACGAAATAATCAATTCGTAAACCAAGAAGTAAATATCTCAATTTCTATCCAATCATGTACACTTAAATATTTCATGATGAGGAAGGATAAATGAATGTATTTTCCATACAATTAGTATAGTATGGAAACAAAAAAAAATAGTACTTATAACACAGGGCGAGGTCACAGCGAGGTTCCAAGAAAAAAAAACAAGAGGCCGCTCGCCCTCCCGATAGATAGACCAGCTATCAAGGCTCACAGATAGACTACTGCACATGCTGGTACATGAAGCACAAGACAGGGAAATATGGAGACAAACTACACACATCACTTTAACCTTGCAACTACATTTCTGTTGTAGGAATAAGGACAGAGAGAGAAACCTGAATTCTTTTTATAAATATTTACTAATATAATTATTGTCAAAAAGAGAACGAATGATTCTTTGAAATAAAGGGTAATGATCCAGTCAAAAAGAAATAACAAATTTATAAACTTTAGACGACTTTATTGATACCCAATGCAGGATTAAATCGTTTTCTTGCTAGCTGGAGAATTCGTTCCATTTGTCAATTCTACTGTAAAACTGACGACGTTTACTTTGCTTCTCGATATTTTCTTCTATCCCAATATATCCTAAAATCGTCTATAAATCACAAGATTTAAACTTTCGTACAATTTAGACTGGCTAGAACGAGAGAATATTTTAAATCCTTCATTAATAGACGTTTGAAAGTTAGGAAATTCGAAACCCAAACTTTAATCAATCAAGACATCGCAACCAAATCTATCTTCCTTGTCCCTATTCTTTCCCTTTTCCCCTGAAACACCTTTTACCGTACTTACTCTAGTTTCTGGAACATGATGATTGAGCACAAAGCTATTAGCACATTCCCGAATAGAACCGAAGACTCTGATCTGGTTTAATTACTCCAAACAAAGTGAAAAGTTTGGTTGTTTTTGTTTGTTTGGATTACTTTGTTTTCGTTTTCGTAATTAAATTCGTATTAATTATTATTTTAAATATTTTTTATAATAAAGGATAATGATGCAATAAAAAAGTAATGACGAATTTAGAAACTTTATAAGACTTTATCGTTATTTAAAGCTGATCGAATCGTATCTTTGCCAGCTCGAGAATTCGTTCCATTTACCAGTTTTACTGTAAAACTGAAATCGTTTGCCCTCCACCCGCTTGATTCTCTCCTATCCCCGTATCTCCTAAAATGGTCTATAAATCACTGCGAAGAAAGATTTAAACTTTTCGTACAAGTTAGACTCGCTAGAAAGAGAGGATATCTATCTTTTATTAATGGCCGTTTGAAAGTTGCGGAATACGAAACTCAAACTTTAATCAATCAAG